CGCCATGCTACTTCCATCGATAGGATGAGCAACATCCAATGAATCGGAGCGCTGTATCTTCCCGCCCGCCCGCAGCTCCGCTCATTCGACGCGCCCGCTGTTCGACACACTCCCCTGCTTGTCGTGCCCACCCGCTCACTGTTTCCCCGCCCGGTCGCCGTTTCCCCGCCCCCTCCTGACCCCTTCGGCCTTCGCGCCGTTTCGCCGGCCGCTCCCGACCCGTTTGGCCTTCGCGCCGTTCACTCGCGGCACAAAAAACGTGCGCAGTGTCCGTTGGGCCCGCTTGTCAGTCCCGCCACGTTTCCCAAGACTGCGCAGCGGCCTGTCGTGGAAGCGTTACGCGAGGACCGCTGTTTGCTTAAAGAGTGTTATGGATAAAGAAGGGATATTAAAGTACCAGTTTGCCCGAAGGTAAGTCGGGCTCTTACTGGTTTATGCGGTAAGGTCATGATGCCTCGGGCCCGGCCAGGTAGTTAATGTGGAAGGCCACTACGGAAAGGCCCAGTTGAAGGCTCGCAAGCCTTGGAAGTTAGCTTTGTCAACTTAAGCTTGTGTGAATGTGTGGCTTAATCCGCCAGTACCTTTCCCAGCTATGGGCTGCGGGCCCTGCTTGCTGAGTCTCGGCGGCGCATCTGGCCACTGCCCGAGGCTGAGTGCAGCCTCCGTGTTAACCGGCGCGTCTCGGCGTTTTGGCTGGGAAAGGTACTTGTGGTTTAAAGGGAGACCAAAAGAGTCACATTCCAGGTCCAATGGGACAGGAACATTGAGGTGGTTCCAGTTTGCCCTAGGGTCTACCTATGGTACACCCAAGGTACACATAGGGCATACCTAGGGTATACCCAACCCTAGGGTTACCTACGGTACACCCAAGGTAAACGTAGGGCATACCTAGGGTATAACCAACCCTAGGGTATACCTAGGGCTTGCCTAAGGTATACCCAAACCTAGGGTGTACCTAAGGACTGGAGGTGAAGGTATAACCCTACAGCATAAAAGGGTGAGGTGGAATGCTTTTTGTCTGTGCTCTCAAGTTTCATCACGCTGAGAGATTGCCGCAATGTGCTGTGTTCAGGCTTGTCATCACAGCATAACCTCTCCTACACTTCGTTAATTCTCAGTGTCGCACGGACCAATTCTGTCTGTGTTCACAATCTGTGTGGGCGATCTGATGCTCAGCCCATGATACACAATGTGCTGTCGTCACACTACTATTGTAGTTCTCGTAAAGACACTGCTCATTTGACCTCCTTTTTATTGTCTTTTATAATTTGGACCATTTCATGATTTATGTGTGTCGTCCTTGTGCAGGGGCCATGCTAATCTTCTCTGTATCGTTCCGATTTTAGCGGATGCCTCAAAGGACGGCCCATTTAACCATTTGATTTCTTTGAGCCAGAATATTTTCCCTCTTCATTGGCTTGTCTAATCCAATCCGGAAACCTACGACCTCACATATGTGTTGTAATGCCTTTCGCAGATAGTTTTGCATAATTGAATTCGTCTTTTTATTCTAAATTTGTTGCATGATATGCCTCACAGTAGTTTGCTGAAATGCCTATTGAGTAGAGTTGACCTAATTCTTTCCTTGCCTTGGTCATGACAAACGGTGTGGTCTGTGTGTGTGTATTCTGTGTGCGCGTGTAGAGGGTGTGCGTATGTGGGTGTGCGCATGCATGCATGTGTGTTTGTTCCTCGAGGGGGTTCGTATGTCTGTGGGTGACTGGGTGGAAAGCAGGGAAATGGAAAACGGTTTAAGTTTGTCATCCGGACAGATTCTGCCTGGGATACAGTTTCTTATCCCCAGAGCTTTGATACACAACCTGGCGTCTGGCAAACTGTAAGTGATTTTCACTATCTTCCAGGAATGCAACCCTTGTTTGCCACAAAAAAAGGTGCCGTAGACTTATTGGGCAAGGCAAATGTGAAAAACTAATCAATTTCAGCGCTTGTTCTCACCAATGGATTCTTTACATGGGCCTTCTTCTTCTTCGTCTTCTTCTTTGTCTTCGTCCTCGTCATCGTCATCGTCCTGTGTCCTTCTTCTTCTTCTTCTTCTTCTTCTTCTTCTTCTTCTTCACTGCTTTCTTCTTCTTCACTGCTTTCTTCTTCTTCGCTGCTTTCTTCACGTTTGCCACCTTCTTCGCCTGTGCCTTTCTTTGCCTTCGCCACCTTCTTCACCTTCACCTTCACCTACGCCTCCGCCTCCGCCTCCGCCTTCTTCACTTTCACCTTCTTCTTCTTCTGCTTCTGCTTCTTCTTCTTCGCTGCCTTCTTCACGTTCGCCTTCTTCTTTGCCTTCTTTGAGAAGTTCGAGTTCTTCGCCTTTGCCTTCACCTTTGCCTTCGCCTTCTTCGCCTTCGCCTTCATCTTCTGTGTGTTCGCCTTCTTGGCCTTCTTCTTCTTCTTCTTTCTTCTTCTTCTTCTTCTTCTTCTTCTTCTTCTTCTTCTTCTTCTTCTTCTTCTTCTTCTTCTTCTTCGTCGTCGTCGTCGTCGTCGTCGTCATCATCTCCGTTGGCGTCACCTTCTTCTTCTTCTTCGCCTTCTTCTTTGCAGCTGCCTTCGCCGCTGCCGTCTTCTTCTTCGCCGCCGCGTTCTTCACCGTATTCTCCACCCCGTTCTTCACCTTCTTCGCCTTCTTCGCCTTCTTCACCTTCTTCTTCTCCGGCTTCTTCTTCTCCGCTTTCTTCTTTGTCCACCTTCTTCTTCTTCTTCTTCTTCTTCTTCTTCTTCTTCTTCTTCTTCTTCTTCTTCTTCTTCTTCTTCTTCAGAAGATGTGAAAAGACAGAACAGAACACCAGGAGTAAGAAATACGAAACACAAGGAGATTTTCCCAACGGGCATGAACTCTGATGGTTGCTCGGATTGGTGGACCACAAGTCAGTATTCATAATTTGGATTATTGATTTCTGATGACACATGAGGATACTACTGAATCGAATTCAAATGGAAGAGGACTAGGGAATTCACTCTTATAATAAACAAAACTTCAAAAATTCTAAAATAGTAATAGTTTAATAGTTTTAACTTTTAACTTTTAACTTTTAACTTTTAACTTTTAAGACTTAATCCTCAAACCGAGGTTAACCAGAACGTCAACTTATCAAGATGGAGTTTTTTGTAGTGAATTGCAAAGACCACCCTGGTTGTACAACTTGTACTCTTTTCTTTTCTTTTCCTCACCAACAGGAATCCAATTCAGTCTTGTACTTAAACGGAGATAGCGAATGAGTTGCTATAATTTCAATTTTGCAAGAGGAGCTCTGCCAAAGTGAATTGCAAAAACTTATGTTGATGTGGTTTTTCAACCGCTTTTGAGCCTTGCTCTTCCCCCCCCCCCCCCCCCC